AGGGTTTAGGGTTTAGGGAATTATTACAATTATACTAGAAAGGAGCCCGAAACCGTATTCTTAATTTTAAGGCCCCTACATTAGCTTCGCCGTTTGGGGTTGAGGGTCTAAGGTATCGGGGGCACATCAACACAGAGCCCTCGCGAAACCATGTCGAATCACGTAACAGGCCCATCAATGCACCCAGTATAATCCTGGAGAACTATACACCGTCCCCTCTTATCTCTCCTCCACCTTAGTTGAAACCCTAAACCCGTTGACCCTAAACTCGACACCCTAGGCCTCTCGCCTCCACCTGAGCAGGCGCAGCAAAAGAAGCGCGAGGAGAAGTTTATCGACGCCATGGCACGCCAAGCTCCCAGATTTTAGATCCCAGATGCGCAGCTTTAAGTTTTGTAGGAAACCCTTGCAGGGTTTCTGTTAACGGGGTCTAGAAGGATTACTGTAAGGTGTAGCATGGGGGCCTTAATAATCAGAATAGGAACCCAAAGACCCTGTTCTCGAAGCCTTTTGGGCTAGTTTGATGCTCAGGGAAGTAGTGTTGGGCTTGGGTCTCTTGGGTCTGGGGCTTTACGATTTCAAGGCTTCGCCCCTCAGGATTTCCACAGAAGGTCAGCAAATCAATGCTGTCCCAACTATGAAACCCCACCGCCTGCTTGAATCCGGAGTACCAAGAAAAGAAGCAGCGAGTAGCAATCACTATAATTATTTAGGGTTGAGGGTTTAGGGTTAAGTATTCAGTGTTTATATGCCTATGCAGATGTCGTATATCAGATTTCTCACTTGAGAGCTTACGGTGCGAACCGTTGATGGCAAGGACAGTTGGTGTCAGCGCGAAGGTCGTACGACGTCTCAGGCCACGTCTGCTAAACCAACTTCTGGGAAGACAGGTCGACGGTGAGATTCGTATTCCACCCTGGCAGCTGCGGACGTTCAGGGGGAGTTGCACCAGAGATCTTTTTGGGTATACCCTAAACCCTAAACCCTAAACCCTAAACCCTAATACCCTAAACCTAAAACCCTAAACCCTAAACCCTTTTGGGTATATCTTGCCTGTTCATCACAGCAGGCCTCGAGACCTTCGAGTAGGAGTTCCACGCTGCAGCGGCGGAGATCCGGGTCTGACAGCAGTAAAAGGTTTAGGGTTTAGGGTTTAGGGTTTAAGTTTAGGGTTTAAGTTTAGGGCTTAGGGTTTAGGAGTAAAATTGATGACAATGCCAGCGTAGCAAGACTTTTCAGATGCATGCATTGCTTCCGCGACAGCACCAAGCAGAAAGCCATGATCACGTCATTTGGGTCAGTTGTTGTGATCATAATTTCGAAGGTGCCAAGAAGCACCTCATCTGATTCAAGTTTTAAAACCGAAAGACCTTTTGCTTTCGGCCCTTGTGAAACCCTCAACTGAACCTTGCCACGCTATACCGTTTTCCGCGCGACATAGTCCGACGCAGCTTTGACGGCGATGACAAACGTCGCGGTATCATGATAGCACTTGTAGCCGGAAGAGGGGACCAACAACTCCAAACTCCAACCCCTAAACCCTAAACCCTAAACCCCTAGACTTTAATCCCCTGTAGTATCCTTACAGGAATCCTGTAAGGAACCCCTCAACCCTAAGCCTAAGCCCTAAAACCCCGAACCCTTACAAGGAGCCCTAAAGCCTAGACCATTCTGGATCCCTTACACAAACTGAAGCCCATAAAGGAACCCTTAAATGAGCACTTAAAGGCTTAAAACCCTAAACTCTAAACTCCTAAAACCCTAGACCCCCAAACCCTAAACCCTAAACCCTGAACCCCAAAACCCCTAAACCCTAAACCCTAAACCCTAAACCCTAAACCCTAAACCCACTGCGCCTCCGAAGTCGACCTCGGGCTTAGGTCATGCGAAAGCTCGAGAGGAGCTGGCTGCCAGATATGCCGACAGGGTCGAAAAGGCCCGGGTTTAGGTTTTAGGGTTTAGGGTTTAGGGTTTAGGGTTTAGGGTTTAGGGTTTAGGGTCTTTGGGAGTTCAGGGCTTCAGATTAAGAGTTAGGGTTTCGGGTTCAGGGGTTCAGGGTTTAGGGTTTAGGGTTTAGGCCTTGGGGTTCAGGGCTGGGGGGTTGGGGCTTTGGTGTTTGGTGTTTGGGTTTTTTGGGGGATTTTGGGTTTAGGGGTTTGGGTTTTGGGCGTCGGAAAGGCCCGTCGCGGCAAAAAGTCAGAGCTTATCGGCTCGCAGGCACCCTTTAAGGTGGGTCGAAGGTCAAGCCCCATTTTTTAATTTTTGGGCTTTAGGGGTTGGGGTCGAGGGTTTAGGGTCTAGGGTATAGGGCTGTTTAACTCTACCAGGTTCTGCTATGGGGCTTACGATTCGGATCCGGCGCCCTGTAACCCTAAACCCTGAACCCTAAACCCTAAACCCTTCCAGATACGCCGGGCAAAGCCTCCGGTACGGCTCCGTCACGCCTCCGCTGCAGATCGCGTAACGGAGGGAGGTTCCGCCTAATGTAGGAGCCGAAATAATTACCTATATTATTTTGGGGGTTCCTGATTATAATTCTGGTATAATGGGCCCCCAAAACCGTATTCTAATTATTAAGGCCCTTATATAAACCCTAAACCTAGAGCCCTTTGAGGAGCACATTAAAGGAACCCCCAAATGCCCTATTCTAATTATTAAGGCCCCTGCATTAGTCCAAAATCTGTGACGGAGAGGGCCCCGGGTACAATCATAGCCGGCATAGCGGGCATGTCCACAACATTCTAAGGTTAGAAGTACTGGCCCCTTATATGGACCCTTAGGCCTTTCTAGGGACCCTTCAGGGTACATATAGAGTATATAGCAGGTGTATAAGGATCTCAGGGTTAAGGGCCCATATTAGGGGCCCATGGTTTCAACCTTAGAAGCATGGTAGGGCTAGCACCCATCCGATATCCTATCCTAAACCTAAAACCTAAAACGAACCCTTATAGATCCCTTGAAGGGATCCTCGAAGGAAGCCTACCAGCAGCCGAGTATATAGAAACCTTCATATCATTCAATCGGGCTTTGTGGTGTAACATAGCATAGTTGCACTACAAACCTCAAGCAACCCGAAACCCTAAAACGTAAACCGTACCCAGGCCCCTTTTTTTTTACTCCAAAGCCTCTAAGCTGCAATGTCGCCGGAGTAAGTAAACCCTGAGTCCTAACTGACTCCCGAGCCCCGAACCCAACAACGAGTCCCGAACTAGATGTAACCCCAAATCAGCGGCTTAAACAGTTGTCAGCTAGAGTCCTTGGGGTTGTTTCATGTAGCTATACTAGCTATACTACATAAACCCTAAACCCTAAACCCTAAATCCTAAACCCTAAACCCCTAAACCCTAAACCCTCAACCCTAAACCCTAAACCCCAGTTACTACAATATACACCCGAACCCTTCTGCAATTATTCATGCCGCTATGACGAAAATATATAGCAATACTATTCCTGCGGTCTTTTGTACCCCAAAAAAGCACCATCCAAGTATTGCTACGAAGCCCTTGACACCCTAAACCCTAAGCCCTAAACTCTAAACCCCAACCCCTAAACCCTAAACCCGAAGCCCTTGGACAGACTTAGGGTTTAGGACGTTTAGGATCTAAGGCCCTCAAACCTGAACTGAAGATCTTTAAACTGGGCTTTGGGGTACCATACTTAAATACTTTTTTGGGGGACCTGTTCCTTAAAGGGACCATTATGAAACAAAGTTTATACTTCTTTTCCCCCTGGTTACTTGGAGGCCGAGTCTGGCCCCAAGCCCAAACTCCGTAGAAGCTAAGCCGCAAGCCTGTAGCCCTGCATTTTGGGCAGACATGGGTGTTTCAGGAAAGTTAAGGGGTACCTCATATTTTGGGGGGGTCCTTATTATAAGGATCCAACTATTCAGGGTACTATATTAGGGTCCCCTATTTTCGGAAACCCTCACTTTGCATCCGTGCGCTGGGCTCCTTTTCGGAGTGTTCGAAAGTTCGACGAGAACTTACGTTAACTGCATTACTGTAGAGTTCGCACTAATCTAGCTATCCCCTTTCAGGCCGTATATACTCATCTGCACAGGTGAAAGACAACTTGGCGAAGCACTTCGAGAAGCGAGACACGGCCTGTCTGCTCGGTCTTTCCGGTTTAGGGGCTTTGGGTTTAGGCTTTAGGTTTTAGCTTTGAGGGCTTAGGGCTTAGGTAAACCCTAAGCCCTAAACCCGTTTGGAGATAAGGGTTTAGGTTTTGGGGGTCTAGGGGCTTGGGGGCTGGGGATCTTGGGGTATAGTACGGTTTCGGGTTTAGGGTTTAGGGTTAAGGGGGCTCAAGTGCTTGTTTCTCAGACCCATGCATTGTAATTATTATCATGTCTTTCCTTTTTGGCAGAATACTTGGAGCCTGAACTTGGAAGAGGGTTTGCTGTGTTGGGTTTAGCGTTCGGGGTTTTGAGTTCCGGCGCTGGGTTTCTTGCTCGAGTTGTAAGGGGATGCACCCTGGACCCGGCCCTTCTCAGCCTTCCTGCCGAAACCTCGCGCCACAACCATTGTGACCTCAACCCTGTTCCGGCATTGTCTTCGGGACTTAAGCTTCTGGGGTCGGAGACTGCAGCATGCCTCACTTAGGCACTAAATTCCCCTAAACCCCAAACCCTAAACCCCAGCCCTCAACCCAAAACCCTCAAGCTTAAGACCGATCCCTGTAGAGTTTCTGGCGCTACTCTTGCTCAGGAGTGTTAGAAACTGGGTGCCGTGATATGTGATATACACACCTTAGGGTTTTAAGGTTTAGGGTTTT